GTTTTGGGCTTGTGGAACTGTGGAACTGTGGAACGAAGTTCCACAGTGCCTCAGACCTGCAGCGCTTCTTTCTCGGCCATGCGAGCCAGCGCTACCAGTCTATCGAGCGGCGCTGCTTGCGCAGCCATCTGCTGCGGCCCCGAGGCGACGGCATACGCTCGGGGAGGACGGGGGAGGGAGGCACGAGGAAGGACGGAGCAGGAGGGCGGAAGGGGGGGAGGAAGAGCAGGAGCCGCCTGCCCCCCCCCCGCTCCCCCCGAGGATCATCGAGAAGGGAGTGGTCGACGCCTTCGGCCTCAACAAGGACGCCGTGCACGCCACGGCGCCAGAGGACGCGGCGCGGCGTCCCGCGCCCGGGTTCACCGAGCGCCTTGCTGGCCTTCTGGGATTCCCCCGCGGGGGCGGCCACCCCCCAGATGCGCAGGACACCCCGAGATGGGATGGCGAGCCAGCCCTGGGGAAAGGGTTGGGTCTTCCAGGGGAGTTCGTCTTGAAAAGCCAAAGCGTCGGATGTCTGGGTTCCCTCCATCTCATTATATATCGGAGGTTGGGGGGTGAGATCGAAGTGGAACGGAGAGCCCCCCTACCCGGAAATCGATTTCGGTTTCGTGTTCGTGCGTGCCGTGCGGGCGAGGCGAAGCTGCGTGGGCGGGCGAGAGAAAGTCTCCTGTGGCTGAGGCGCGGCCGGACCAAATGATTCCCTTCCGGGCGGCCGGGGCCCCGCGGTGTCCCGCCGGTGTCCCGCTGGTGTCCCGTGTGGCTGAGGCGCGGCCGGACCAAATGATTCCCTTCCGGGCGGCCGGGGTCCCGCAGTGTCCCGCCGGTGTCCCGCGGTGTCCCGCGGTGTCCCGCCGGTGTCCCGCGGTGTCCCGCGAGGATGATGATGATGATGATGAGATGATGATGATGATGATGATGATGATGTTGATGATGATGATGGTGTCCCGATGAAGATGATGATGATGTTGATGATGGTGTCGATGATGATGATAGTGTCCCGATGATGAGGATGATGATGCTCATGATGATTATGCTGATGATGATGACGATGATGGTGTCCCGATGATGATGATGATGATGATGATGATGATGATGATGATGATGATGATGATGATGATGATGATGACTCCGATGATGTTGGTGATGATGATATTGATGGAAATGGTGTCCCGGCGATAATGATGTTGATGATGATGATGTTGATGATGATTATGGTGTCCCGATGATGATGCTGATGACCATGGTGATGATGATGATGATGGTGATGCTGATGGTGTCCCGATGATGATAATAATGATAGTGACGATGTTGATGATGATGTTGCCCATGATGATGATGGTGCGCCAATGATGATGATGTTGTTGATGATGATGATGTCGATGATGATGATGATGATGATGATGATGATGATGATGATGATGCGATGGTCATCATGATGATGGTGTCCCGAGGATGATGACGATGTTGATGAGACTGTTGATGATGAGAACGATGGTGATCATGATGGTGTCCCGATTATGATGATGATTCTGATGATGCTGCTGATGATGATGACGAGGACTGTGTCCCGATGATGATGCTGACGTTGATGATGAGGTTTATGATGATGATGATGATGATGATGATGATGGTGATGACGGTGCCCTCATGATGATGACGATGTTGGTGATGATTTTGATGTTGATGTTGTTGATGACGATGATGATGATGATGATGATTCTAATGCTAATGCTAATGATGATGATGATGATGATGATGATGATGATGATGATGATGATGATGACGATGACGTTGATTGTGATAGCGGTTGTGATATCGATAGTGAGATCGATATTGAGACCGAATGTGAGATCGAGTGTGTGATCGATTGTGAGATCGATTGTGAGATCAATTGTGAGATCGATCGAATGAGATAGATCGAATGAGATCGATTGTGAGATCGATCGAGTGAGATCGATCGAGCGAGACCGATAGTGAGATCGATACTGAGATCGATAGTGAGACCGATCGAGTGAGACGTTGGTTTCCCCCCCCCGAAGCTCCTTATCACCCGAAGGGTGGTCGTATAGGTAACGAAAACAAAAAAACGGCATCAGACTGCTCGCGCTGGCGCTGCTGGCATCGAGGTCGATCACGACGTTGCCACTCCTCCTGCTCCCACTGCTCCTGCTCCTGCTGCTGCTCCTTCTTCTTCCTTGTCGTTATGCTCTTCCTCCTGTTCAGCTCCTGATCATCCGCCACCTCCTCCCCTCGTCCAATGCTTGAAGCCACTGTCCCCCTGCCTGAGTGCACATCACACGACGGGGTCATTTTGGGGGCACGTCATCTGGGACATCCGAGCCGGCAGACAGAAGAGAACTCGACGCAATGGGAAAGGATGCGTGGGAGGAGTGAGACGTCAGGAAGAGCGCGAGCGCGCCTCGCTTACTGCGAAGGCCCTGCGGCCGGCGCCGCCGACCCTGAAGGCGACGAAGATGAAAAGGAGGGGGGGTGCAGGGATACGAGGAGGAGAGGCAGGAGGAGGAGAAGGAGGAAGGGGGGCGTCGGTCGATTTCTTCTCGCCTGTTGTCTCCTTTCGCTGCGGCTTATCCTGCCTGAGAGAGGGATGAGGATGAGGAGGAGTAGGAAGAGGAGGAGGGGTAGGAGGAGGAGAAAGAGGAGGGAAAAAGAGGAAGAGGAGGAGGAGGAGGGAAAGAAGAAGGAGGATGAAGAGAAGGACGAGGAATAAGAAGAAGATGGAGTTCAGGAGGAGGAGGAGGAGGAGGACGAGGAGGATAATCAGGAAGAAGAGGAGGACTGACAAAAAATGAGGACGAAGAGGAGAAAAATGATATTGGGGAGGAGGCAGAGGAGGAGAGGCAGTCGGAGGAGGAGGAGTATCAGAAGGAGCAGGAGGAGGAAGAGGAGGGGGACAGATGATGATGAGGAGGAGGAGGAGGGGAGGAGGAGGAGGGGATGAGGAGGAGGAGGAGGAGGAGGAGGGAGGAGGAGGAGGAGGAGGAGGAGGAGGAGGAGGAGGAGGAGGAGGCGGAGGAGGAGGAGGAGGAGGGGGAGGAGGAGGAGGAGGAGGAGGAGGAGGCGGAGGAGAGAGGAGGAGGAGGAGGAGGAGGAGGGAGGAGGAGGAGGAGGAGGAGGAGGAGGAGGAGGAGGAGGAGGAGGAGGAGGAGGAGGAGGAGCAGGAGAGGAGCCTCTTGGAGCCTTGGTGGGGGTGTTCTCGGAGAGGTCCTGGGACGTCTAGGAGTCTTCTTGGATCGTCTTGGGGCCATCTTGGTCGTGCTGGGCCGATCTTTGAGCGACACGGAGCTCTTATGGGCAATCTTGGGCGCCATCTTCGGCATTCTGGGTTCTTTTTGGGGCTGTTCGATATGTCGGGGCCGCCCGGGGGAAAACGAATCTGGGTGGCGACCCCCCCCGGGACCCCCCCCGGGACGCCCCCCTGGACGCCCCACGACCCCCCCCCCGCGGGGAAGGGATCAAGGGGAAGGGGCTCGCTTTGGACGGCACGCTTGAGGAGGGACCATGTAAAGGGACGGGGGTCGACGGATACAGTGAGGAGACGACTGCGACGACGATAAAGACGACGAGGAGCCGACGGAGACGAGAACTCGAACGGAGAAGCCCCTCGGACACGCCAACAGGGTCGGCGGATGTATCCCCTTCTCTCTCCTCTCCCCATCCCTTAGGGGTTCGGTCATGGGCGCCTTGTTGAACGTAACCACCCTTCGATCTCATCGAAGACCGCCGATGACCACCGACGGCCGCCGAAGACCGTCAGAGGACCGCTGAAGACCGCCCATGGCCGATGGGCAACAGGAGGTCTTCGTAGCCGAATACGCGTAATCCCCCCTTACAGTGGAGACCCATGCCAAGAAACACCCTGCTTGCCTCCAGGGAGCCCTGGGTTTCTCGGGTTTCGATGGTTTTGTGCTGGAAAGCGTGACGTACGTTCCCACGCCGCAAATCGATGGACGTCCTGGGGTCTCAGGGTTGGGTTTCTTGTGGGAGGCTTCTTGTGGACTGGCCTCCACTGTAATTCCCCCCTTGCCTCTCCCCAACCCTTCCCCCCCCTGCCCCCCCTCACCTGTCCCTCCCCCCCTGTCCTGGCCCCAGGATCGGGGGCGAGCCCCGGGGGGGGAAGTCCGAGGGGGCGGGGCCTGCTCATAAGGCTCGGAAGGCCTGCGGCCTTCTGACCGGTTTTCCGAGCCTCCCCCGGAAGGCGCAGGAAGCTCACCCGAAGGCCCGAGGGCTTCCGAGAGGCCCCGCGGCCTTCCGAGAAGGCCTGCCCCCGCTCGCCTCCCCCGGGGCGCGCCGCCGATCGGAGTGGGCGGGGGAGATCGGGGGAGTCGCTCCGATTCAGGCCCTCGGATCGACCTGCCGTCGTCCTCGTCCTCGTCCTCGTCCTCGTCCTCGTCCTCGTCCTCGTCCTCGTCGTCGTCGTCGTCGTCGTCGTCGTCGTCGTCGTCGTCGTCAGCCTCATCGTCAGCCTTCTCCGAGCACAGGCACGGCTCATCAGTCAGCCACCCACGTCACGTGGTGCAGCTGACCTGCCGGGCACCTTCCCGCGCGGGCAGCCTGTAGCCGCGCGCAGTCCAGAGCTGATCTGCCTTGAGCTGCTCCCCGACACGCGTTCCTCCAGTTGGTCGTGGATCCCACAAACCATCCATCTGCGAGACCCTTGCTATATCCGAATAAGAAAACAGCCATAAACATTAACTTTTGGCGCTATGCGCGGATTTCTTGGCTCCGCGCCTGGGCCCCCCCTGGCGGCGCCTCCGGCGCCGCCCCTGGCGCGCTCCGCGCGCCAGGGAGGCGGTCCAGCGCAGATCCAAGAAATCCGCGCGGAGCGCAATTACGCTGCCGAGGAAACCCACATACTTATATTATGGCTGGAGTGATGATAGCTGAAGTGAAGCATGTAAGAATGATGTTGGTGGCCGTTGCCACCCCCTGCGCACCCCCTATTTTGTCCAGAAAGTGCCACGCCTGCTATGCCCTGGACGACCGTCGTGCATAGCGGCCGCGGTGAGGGACCACCCCCTGCGCACCCCCTATGGTGTCGAGAAAGTGCCACACCTGCTATGCCCTGGACGACCGTCTCGAATAGCGGCCGCGCTCGGGGACCACCCCCTGCGCACCCCCTATGGAATCGAGAAAGTGCCACGCCTACTATGCCCTGGACGACCGTCTCGGATAGCGGCCGCGCTCAGGGACCACCCCCTGCGCACCCCCTATGGAATCGAGAAAGTGCCACGCCTACTATGCCCTGGACGACCGTCTCGGATAGCGGCCGCGCTCAGGGACCACCCCCTGCGCACCCCCTTATGGTGTCGAGAAAGTGCCACGCCTGCTATGCCCTGGACGACCGTCTCGGATAGCGGCCGCGCTCAGGGACCACCCCCTGCGCACCCCCTAAGTGTCGAGAAAGTGCCACGCCTGCTCTGCCCTGGACGACCGGCGCGGATAGGGGGACCACCCCCTGCGCACCCCCTATGGTGTCGAGAAACTGCCACGCCTGCTACGGCCTGGACGACCGGCGCGGATAGGGGGACCACCCCCTGCGCACCCCCTATGGTGTCGAGAAACTGCCACGCCTGCTACGGCCTGGACGACCGGCGCGGATAGGGGGACCACCCCGTGCGCACCCCTATGGCGTCGAGAAACTGCCACGCCTGCTACGGCCTGGACGACCGGCGCGGATAGGGGGACCACCCCCTGCGCACCCCCTATGGTAGTCGAGAAACTGCCACGCGGCTACGGCCTGGACGACCGGCGCGGATAGGGGGCACCCCTTGCGCACCCCCTATGGTGTCGAGAAACTGCCACGCCTGCTACGGCCTGGACGACCGGCGCGGATAGGGGGACCACCCCGTGCGCACCCACTATGGCGTCGAGAAACTGCCACGCCTGCTACGGCCTGGACGACCGGCGCGGAAAGGGGGACCACCCCCTGCGCACCCCCTATGGTGTCGAGAAAGTGCCACGCCTGCTACGGCCTGGACGACCGGCGCGGATAGGGGGACCACCCCCTGCGCACCCCCTTATGGTGTCGAGAAACTGCCACGCCTGCTACGGCCTGGACGACCGGCGCGGATAGGGGACCACCCCGTGCGCACCCCCTATGGTGTCGAGAAACTGCCACGCCTGCTACGGCCTGGACGACCGGCGCGGATAGGGGGACCACCCCGTGCGCACCCACTGGCGTCTGCCACGCCTGCTACGGCCTGGACGACCGGACCACCCCCTGCGGACGGCGTCGAGAAACTGCCACGCCTGCTACGGCCTGGACGACCGGCGCGGATAGGGGGACCACCCCCTGCGCACCCCCTATGGTGTCGAGAAAGTGCCACGCCTGCTACGGCCTGGACGACCGGCGCGGATAGGGGGACCACCCCGTGCGCACCCACTACGGCGTCGAGAAACTGCCACGCCTGCTACGGCCTGGACGACCGGCGCGGATAGGGGGACCACCCCCTGCGCACCCCCTATGGTGTCGAGAAAGTGCCACGCCTGCTACGGCCTGGACGACCGGCGCGGATAGGGGGACCACCCCCTGCGCACCCCCTATGGTGTCGAGAAACTGCCACGCCTGCTACGGCCTGGACGACCGGCGCGGATAGGGGGACCACCCCCTGCGCACCCCCTATGGTGTCGAGAAACTGCCACGCCTGCTACGGCCTGGACGACCGGCGCGGATAGGGGGACCACCCCGTGCGCACCCACTATGGCGTCGAGAAACTGCCACGCCTGCTACGGCGCGGACAGCTATGTGTATGCTCCCTACGGTGCCCAATATGTCGCGCACACGCCTCAATGGACGCTGCAGTGAACACGCCAGGCGCGCACTAGCGTTGTATGGTGTGTGTCTTGTGTTTGCGAGTGTGTGTGTGTGAGGAGAGGAAGAGGGGGAGGGAGGAGGGGAGGAGGGTGAGGAGGAGGAGGAGACGCGGGTGCGCCGCGGCAGGGAAGAAAACCAGAACCCCACGAAACATGTGGGGAACAAGTTTATGTTGATGGCGTCTTTCCTTCCTCTACATTTTCGATACATGTCAGCATGCAGTATGATCCATCTGTTTCCCCCGGCAGGCTTGCCAAGCCTCGAACTCTGCAGCCAGAAGCCCTTCCGCCTTCTGAGCAGGCCCGTCCCTTGCACTACTTCCCCCCCGGGCCTGCCGCCAACGGGGGGGGAATCCCCTTTCTACCCCTCCCCCACGAGAGAGGAGGAGGAGGAGAAGGAGGAGGAGGAGGAGGAGAAGGAGGAGGAGGAGGAGGAGGAGGAGGAGGAGAAGGAGGAGAAGACGAGGGGGAGGAGAGGAGGAAGAGGAGGAAGAGGAGGAAGAAGGAGGAAGAGGAGGAAGAGGAGGAAGAGGGAGGAGGAGGAGGAGGAGGAGGAGGAGGAGGAGAGAGGAAGGAGGAGAAGAGGAGGAAAGAGGAGGAAGAGAGGGAGAGGAAGAGGAGGAAGAGGAGAAGGAGGGAGGCGGAGGAGGAGGAGGAGGAGGAGGAGGAGGGAGGGGGGAGGGTGTGCCTGCGCCTCCTGTCCGAGGAGCTGGCCTCGGCGGCCCTGGCGGGCCGCAAGAAGCTGCAGGCCAGTAGGGGGGGGGGGGGGGCGCGGAGGACACCCGACGTCGCGAGGGAGACTTTCCGACTCCTGCGACACGATTCGATTCGATTTCAACCGATTCCGATGCCATGCGATTAGACTCCGGATTTCGATCTGGATCTCGGCTTCTCAATGGAGGAGGCCTCGCCAGCCTGCCGGTTTTCGCCGATTCGACTTCGAGGTCGTCGTCGCCGATCAGAGGATGAAGCGTCACGCTGTTCTCCAACGTTGCCGGTGGGCTGGGTGGCACGAATGTCACTACCGCCACCAGCAACCTCAGCTCACCAGGGGCAAGCCGCAGTGCGCTGAGCGCACAGCGGACAGAAAGCCTGCGGGCGCTGGCTGCCAATGCAGGCATCGGAAGGAGCGCGGCTGGGGAAACCGATAGGGCCAGACTCGCGAGCAACTCGAGGAGGAGGAGGAGGAGGAGGAGGAGGAGGAGGAGGAGCTAGGAGGAGGAGGAGGAGGAGGAACGATGAGGTGGGGAGGGGGGGAGGAGGGAGGGAGACGGGAAGAGGGATGAGGGAGGAGGAGGAGTGAGGGAATGGAGGTGTTGGAGCGAGCAACTCGAGAGAAGAGCCCGAGAACCCTCGGCCCGCATTGCGAGGGAGGCCTGGAGGCCCGAGAGGGCGTGCGCCAGCCCACGCCGAGGGGGGAGAGGGAGGCGGGGGCGACGCGGGGGGGCGAAATGGGCGACAAGGGGGCAGGGAAGCAACATCGCGGCCCTGCTCGCCCAGTGGGACTCCCCACATGTACCACTGTACACTGGGGAAGCGGGGGCGTAGCGGGGGCGTAGCGGGGGCGAAGCGGGGGGCGAAGGGGCTCCCCACATGCAGCACTCTGCACTTGGGAAGCATAGCCGCCAGGAGCCGTCAGGTGAGATGACGGAAGCGCGGCACAGCCTAGAACTGGCAGTGCAAGAACTGGCACGGGGCATCTATACGATAGCATCCACTAGTAGATGTCGAGAGGCAGCTCGTCTGGCCGTGCGGGCAACCGAATCCTGCACCGCAAGATCATAGAGGTGCGAGCGAACACCACAGGTGGGGAAACGCCACGGCGACGCAGGGCCGGGCAGAGGTGCACCGGGGGCGGCGCACGCCACAGCAGAGCGCGCAGCACCGCAGCTCCGATGGGCGATGTGAGCCCGAGGGCGCGGGAGGCGAATGGGGGGCGGCCCACGCGACGAGGTGACGAGGGAAAGGGCAGCGCCGACCAGACCTGCAGTCATCGAGACAGAGCAGGGCGAGCACCCAGACAGGTAAACGGAGCGAGCGGAGACCTACAGTCGACCCGCTTAACAAGGATGGACAACCTTCCCAAGGGTACCCTTGCATCCTGGGTCCTTCCCTCCTCCCTTTCCGTCCTGGGCCACTTTCGTCGGCCGCGCCCCGCTCGCAAAGCTTCGGCGTGGCCTTCCACGGCCCTTGCACCCTCATCGCGCATCCCTGCTATACTGGTTGACTCTACAGTATATGTGTTGCTTTTTGGACCTCAGGAAAGGTGCCCCGGCAGGCCTCAGCGCGGCGCGCAGGCCATGCCGCCCGAAGGTCCTGCTCGCGAGGCAGCGCACCCCGAATCCAGCACGGCCCGCCAACGGATCCCCTGCCCGCTCTGCAGAGGCGCCCCCCCCGCGCCGCCGACCGTCGTGGCTGCCGTTGCACACTCGGCGCAAGCTGGGGGCGCGATCGGTATGCAAACAGTGCAGTGGAAGCTTCCGCTGTCGGTGCGCACCGCTGGCCAGACTCGTCTTTGACAAGCCCTGCAGGAAGGTCCGACTCCGACACGCCGACACCGACTCCAAGGACCTCTCCCTCTCCCTCCTGCGTGAACTGTTCGTGCATCTCGCACTGCATGTTGTTCAGACGCACCAGATTCCTGAGGCCACGACCCCTCCTTTGTTAGGGGATGCGGTACAAGAGAGACGTAGGGCCTGGAGGGGGGCTCGCTCTGCTCGACGACGGCTTCACGCAGGGAGTAGGGAGGAGGGGGGGGAGGGAGGGAGGGATGCTGGAGGGAGAGGGAGGAGGAGGGGGGAGGGGGGAGGGAGAAGGAGGGGGAGGAGGGAGGAGGAGGGGGGAGAGGAGGCGAGAGGAGGGGGGGAGAGGGAGGAGAGGAGGGGAGAGGCAGAGGTAGGAGGAGGGGGGGGAGGAGAGGGAGGAGGAGGCAGGAGAAGGGGAGGAGGAGGGAGGGGGGGGCGGAAGGTGGTGGGGGCAGGGCGGAAGGAGAGAATTGTCATGAGACGTCGAGGGGGAGGCAGACCAGGATCAGGAGGACGAGGACGAGGCAGCGGGGAGAGACGAGAGGAAGACGAGCAGCAGGATGAGGAGGGGGGTGGTCAAGGTGAGGGGGGAGAGTGTGGGAGGCAGACAATGAGCAAACGAAGGGGACAGCTTTACTGGG